GCGAATCTTCCGACTGACGCCCAATGCGCCTGTTTATAAAACGGAAAAGTCAATGTTTAAGCACACGGCCGCATTAGCGACCCCATAGGAAAGTGTCATTTTTTAGCCAACATGGGGGTTGGGGTGGGGTGGGATGTTAAAGTTCATGTTACGCTGATGATGTTACGCTGATCACGGGGGTTGGGGTGGGGTGGGATGTTAACGTTCATGTTACGCTGATGATGTTACGCTGATCATGGGGGTTGGGTGGGGGGGTGGGGGGGATGTTAACGTTCATGTTACGCTGATGATGTTACGCTGATCATGGGGGTTGGGGTGGGTGGGGTGGGTGGGGTGGGATGTTAACGTTCATGTTACGCTGATGATGTTACGCTGATCACCGTACGTTTTGGCTTTCATGTTCCGATGGAACGCAAGGCCGCCCTTGCTGAAAGCAGTTGGCTCTCTTGTGCAGAAGGCATCTCGCTAGAGTAGAGGACAAAAAAAACCTTATTTTTGGGAAAACTGTGTGTTCGAGTCGCAGGGCCAATGGGATTTGCGAAAATGAGGTTCAAACCCATGGTAAAAACGGGACGTTCTGAACACAGGTTCCATCACGACCTTTCAAATACATTGCAAAACGCAGCACTGAATCCTTGAGGCTCATTTCGAAGTGAGCAAATTAGCCAGGGTCGTTAACACGGCCACAACCATGTTTAAAACATCCCAAATTGATAGGTGTCAGGAGACTATACATTTTATAAATAGAAGTAAAGGCGGATCTTTCCAACTGACGCCCAATGGGCCTTTGACAAAAATTGGACAGGTCTATATTTAAAAAGACCATCCATGTTTTCAACATGTACGAACCACCCTTTCTGGAAACCCTGTTTTGCCACCCAGTTCCATTCTTATGAACTGGGCAGTATTGACCAAATCCTGGGTATACGGTATACGCGCCTTGACTGAAAATTTATCTGAGAACAGTTCCATTATATTGAAGAGGAGATTCACACGTACCTATTTGATTTCATGAACACTACTCTATTTACAAAATGGATGGTTCAAGTGTGAACACACGTCCTTACATAAGCAGTAACTTTGCCTTAAAATGACATATGATTACTGATAACAGTTCCATTTTATAGAAGAGAAAGTTCACATGTACCATCATGTACCTATTTTATTTATCAAATGGATGAATGGTTCAATTGTGAGAACATGTCCTAGCAGAAACAGTAATTTTGCCTTAAAATGACCCCCTAAAGATGCAGCCCCTTCCACAATACATAAATCAAATTTAAGGCGTTTTAACATCTAAATACTACGTGTTTTCCATAACCGAGTGGGAAGGCATTTTTTTGCATATCCGGCTTGCTAGGTAGCACAATGGTAGTCTTCCAGTTTATAGAAGCCGCAAACCAAACAGTTTCATTTTTTAGAAAATATACCTGCACCGACCTACATTCCACGAACCAATTTTTTATGGAATGGTGGGGTAAGGGTTCCTACCCTTCAATCAAGGGGAATTAATTTCATATAATTTCCAGGTGTCCAACTTTTCTATTTTTTTAGGGGTTGCTATACAGTGAATGTTGGTAAGAAAATACCAGCAGCAGGCATGGGGCTCGCATTTGCCCCTACCTCATCTGGGGTCGCACTTGCCACTACCCCAGGTCCCGTTAGGGGCGCAGCCGACCCTTGGGTAGGGGCGAATGTGACCATACGATGTTTTCAGTGGCAGGCGCAATCGTTTCAGGGGTCAAAACGAATCGTCATTTATGCCTTCCAACATTCATGTTTGGACGAAGTCTCGTAGTAAAGATATGTTGTCAAGCTGCATAAACCTTTCTAGGAGGAAGCGGCTACCGGCCGCACCAAAGATATGTCTTCAAGTTTTCAACATCTATTCTGCGAGGAAACCTCGCAGGAAAGATCTGTTCTCAAGTTTTCAACAGTCATTTTCGGAAGCAAATCGCGCAAGAATGATATGTTTTCAAACTTCCAGCATCCATTTTTGAGAGAATAAGTCTCGCGGGAAAAATGTTTTCATAAGTTTCCAGCCTCCATGCTTTCAGGAAGTAAGTCACGATATTTTGTGCTGTCTTCGTCCCACATTTTTGGAGAAATTATCGCACGAAAAATCTGCTTTGAAACTTCCACATTCTACTCTTGGATGAAGTCTCGCACGAAAGCTCCGCGATGTGCTTTATGTCTTGGGCTGATTACCATGTTTTGTTCTCATATCAGAATGTCATGTTTGATGTTGGAGATGTGAGAAGATGTGTCAGGAACCCCTGCTAACCCCAGAAGACCTGAAACCCTGTCACCCTTAAAGCCCCTTGGATGTCCAAAGTAGAAAATGAGTCGATAGCCAGGTCCCCGAAACAACCCTGTGTCACCCTTGAAATCCTTTGTTTCGTCAAGGTCCCTAAGTCTCCAGGTTTTAAACCCCCAAAATGTGATGTTTGATGCCCTTTGTTTCTACAAGGTTCCGAATACCCCTGCTCCCAAGTCCCAATTAGACCCAAAGGTTGAATGACCGAAGTAGAAAGGTAAATGGTGTAGGGGCGAATGTGACCGTGAGGTAGGGCCGAATGTGACAATTATGTCATAATTGATCCTGAGAAGCCCGCCAGTTGCTCCCCAAAATTGTGTTGGTTTATTTTCATTTGAGCCATTTCAGGTGCAGATATGTGTTGATATACCATGTGGTAACGTAGTTGGCAGAGGATTGATGATTGGGGTAATGATGATGATTATTGGCAGCAGTCATTGGGAAAACAAATGGGATAATGAGTTTTCATGGGTGTTTAATTGGTATGCAATGTTTTCTTTAACAGACCAGGAACCATGCCAGAGCGGAACTCACAAATCGACTGTTGGTCATGGTCTCATGCGAAGGATCTTAGCAAAATCCGCGAGAGCCCAGGGGATTTTGAAGTAAGAAGCAAGAAAGACACGATTCATGTATGGTCCCATTTCCCTTGACTGTATTGGTTTGGGTCTAGCAAGAATCGATGTGCACCAAAGCTTGATGCTTGAATATCTAAAACATTATAACCAAAACGCGTGGTCCGTTTGAACCTGCTTGGTGGCGCCGTGTCGCCATACTAAAACCATTTCCTTAGATATTCTCTTAGTAAGTGGTTTATAACATTTTTCAACCCCTCAGAGGACTAGGATGTATTGGGATATGCCCCAGTCCCTTACTACCACGCATCTAAGTGCGAGGTGTGGACCGACTCCCTTGCCAGGACGAAGTCACAAACTGCCAAGTTGTATGGCGAAGTCTTCACAACGAACAAATTATAAACGAGAAGGCCTGGCCACATGTGGGCGCTGCTGGTGTTTGATCATGGTTGAGCTGAACGGGATAATCGGGTTGATCTAGTGGAAATTCCACAGAAAACAATATATTCCCCACCTGCCTGCCAGGTGAGGGCCTCTAGATTTTAACAAGACATCCCGCCTTCCCGCCTTTCCTTCCGCCTTCCTTCCGAGCCAGTATGGCATCGCCTGCCTCTTTCTCGACAAACCCTTTATAGCAAGCTCACCAGCTCTTTGGGGTTCGCCGGAACCGAACAGTTTGCGGGATAGAATGCCGGATAGGATGTCAGATACAATAACATTTCAGACAGAATGCCACATCAAAAGCCAGAAACATGCCATGAAGCTCGTCAGATTGAATGCCATATAGAATGACAGTTTCAATGTCAGAGATAGAAAGTCCGATAAAACGCCAGACAGAATGCCAAATGAACTGCCATTGAAATGTCAGACCAGATAGACAGAATGCATCTCAGACAATGTAGCTACATCTTCCACAGTGTCCATAAGTTCCGCCTTTTTAAGGAAGTTCTGCCTTTTGTGGTTAAAAGGCGACTTTACCTGACCACGGGCAACTTTGCCATTTCAAGTAATTAAGGCCACCGTTTTGATTCTGACAAAAATCTCTCAATGTTTTCCAGGCTAAATATGCCAATCCAAATAAGGCAATCTTTTCACCAAATTCCCTCAGATCTATTGGTGAAACTGGGTTTAACTATTTTTTAATCCTCGCCAAACTGCGAAGCAACCGTTTGACAACAACACAGGGCAGCAGCACAGCCCACACTTTCTTACGTGGTTTCCATGACCCATGCCTTAAAAAAATATTCCAGGGTATCAACTAGGTTATGGATTATGTTTTTTGGAATAATTTTCAAGGAATAACTTTTCAAGGGGTAGGTAAACGATGCTGCATGTCGGAACTTGAAATCATGACCTCCCCCCGTCAAGATACCCCGGAAAAATTAGGTTTTGGCTATAACTTAAAACATCTTAAAACATCCCGAGGCAGTCTATACGTTTCTACATTTGGCCTGGCCCTTCCAAAAGCCATTCCTAGCTTGGCGGTGTTTGTCTGAAAGCTTTTTGCTGGAAATGCCAATTGCAGTTGTTTAAGGCATCATGCAGTTTGGGCAATTGCTGCCAACCTTTTTTTGCAGCGTACTTGCAAGCACAACTAGTGTCCAACGGACCACCTTTCTCTCACGGTACTTTCTCTCGAGAGTTCTTTGGGTGGTAATGAATAGGGAATGTTAGGAAAATGCCTGCCAGGTTGAGTGCCATTTTGTGGGCTTTCCCCAGGGGAGAAATTATTCTAGGGGTATTGGAGATGCCTGGTACCCCTCAAAAACCAAAGAGGGCAGCTAATCACCAAATTAGCTCAGAAACTGGCAAGAATTGTCAAAAAACAAATGAAACCCAAACATTTCCCACCCATTCCCACTATGGCCAATGGGAGTTTTTTGGAAGGAAATGAAGGGAATATGAAAGAAATACGGAGACGTACGCAAAGTTGGGAAAACTTGTAGGAGAGAGCCAGGTTGAGTGCCATTTTGTGGGCTTTCCCCAGGGGAAAAATTATTCTAGGGGTATTGGAGATGCCTGGCACCCCTCAAAAACCAAAGTGGGCAGCTAATCACCACATTAGCCCAGAAACTGGCAAGAATTGTCAAAAAACAAATGAAACCCAAACATTTCCCACTCTTTCCCATTATTGCCAACGGGATTTTTTTGGAAGGAAATGAAGGGAATATGAAAGAAATACGGAGACGTACGCAAAGTTGGGAAAACCTCTTGGAGAGAGCCAGGTTGGGTGCCATTTTGTGGGCTTCCCCAGTGGAAAAATTATTCTAGAATATTCTAGAGGTATTGGAGATGCCTGGCACCCCTCAAAAACAAAAGTGGGCAGCTGCTACAATCACAAAACAAACCCAGAAATTGGCAAAAAAAATAAAACCAGTGACAACCAAATATTTTCCTTTCCCACTCATTCCCACTAAGGCCAGAACCACCAAACTAGCAGAAACTGGAAAAACATCCAAAATCAATCAAAACCATGTTCAACCAGTGGGTTGCTGAGAGGACATTTGTTTAAAGATATTATTCTGATTCTTCTTGATCCCATCTGATTATGTTGGAACATAGTTAATTTTGTGCCCCAGCTCTGCAAGAAGGGGTACCTTTTTCGGCCGTTTGCGCGGAGCTGCTTACGATTACTTGCGTTTGGCTAGAAATAGACTTTAGCGGTATCATTTTGATGGAAATTATTCCAAATTTCCATATATCTCAGTGAGTTCTTGGATTTTTTTTTTGCGAACTCAAGGTATGCCGGAATAATACTTGATTATTCTGAGGTATGTTGACGGGGGTATCCCCTTAAGGCATCCTTCATTGGTTTCCTATATCTTTGATTTTAGGCTGTGGCCAGTGCAGGGCATTAGGACCAGGCATGGTCATTTGGATCTCTCCTGCAAAAGTGGAAAAACTAGCTGGAATGCCTTTGAATTGGGGCTTGCTGAATTTACATTAATTTATTCCCCACCTGCCAGGTGAGGGTTGTTAGATTTTATCAGAGCGCATGCCCGCCCGCCGCCTCCTCCTCCTCCTCCTCGACTAGCTGTCCTCCTCGCCTCCGCCTCTTCCACCTCCACTTCCGCCTTGTGCCAACCTTGCCAACTCGTCGCCAAGCTCTTCGCCAACTTCCCAGCTCAGTGCGCACTGCTGGACCTCAACCTGCGAGCTGCCCAGCTCAGTGTGCACCGCTGGACCTCAACCTGCGAGCTGCCCAGCTCAGTGTGCACCGCTGGACCTCAACGGCCAGATAGAATGCCAGAAGATATGCCAGATGGAATGTCAGATAGAATGCCAGAAGATATGCCAGATAAAATGCCATGAGATATGCCAGATAGAATGCCAGAAGATATGCCAGATAGAATGCCACAAGATATGCCAGATAGAATCCCAGAATATTTGCCAGATAGAATGCCAGAAGATATGTCAGATAGAATGCCAGAAGATATGTCAGAATATATGCCAGAAGATATGCCAGATAGAATGCCAGAACATTTGCCAGAAGATATGCCAGATAGAATGCCAGAAGATTTGCCAGATAGAATGCCAGAAGATATGCCAGGAGTTATGCCAGATAGAATGCCAGATAGCATGCCAGAAGATATGTCAGATAGAATGCCAGAAGATTTGCCAGTAAGAAAATGTATAAATGTCATGGTGGGGATCACACGAAGTAAAGTTCTTTTTTCAAAAAAAAAAAATCGGGGGACTTTTCCCGACCAAAGGGCCGCTGCTTTGCACCAAAAGGGGACCTTACCCGACCAAAACCCGACGGTTTCTTGATGCATGATTTCCCATTGGGGCAGGGGCAGTTGAAACCCATCCAAGGCCAAATTCAAGCATGTTCATGCCAGAGCAAACCCTTGCAATTGCAACAAGCCGGTGTGTGACAGCTGAGGATAAGAACATGAAATAGTTTCGGTAAAACAAAAACTCTACTGGGATGATATGGGATAGTTTGGCTAAACTGCTAAACCAAGAAATGCATTGGGATAATTTGTACAAACGAAGAAACTTGTTGGGATAGTTTGGTTAAACTTAAACCAAGAAATGTGGTGGGATAGTTTGGGCAAACCAAAGCATACATATATATATATATATTAATTATTATTAATTTATGTAGGTAATTTGGGTAAATCAACACATGTCTAGTAAAGTAATTTGCTTAGGGCAGTTTCGGTCTCATGATTTCCCGACAGGTGATTGAAGACAAAAGGCAGTTCTGTCTGCTTTTTACAAGCGACAAAAAAACGCGTACCTGGAAGATCCAAGTGTGAATACTGAGAAAAAAGTACTGAAAATGTATTTATGCGAGATAACATGTCAGATAGCCTGTATATGTCAGGATAGATGCCAGGATGGGGCTCACTCGAAGAAACAGTTATGTTTTTGCCCGCAACCTTTGGTTTCCTCAAACCTTCCCCAAGACAAGTTTCAACGAACTTTGACACCAGCGAAACGATCGAAAGGAAACCAATGATCTTGCCAAAAGTCAGCTAGTTTTCCGCCCAGATCCAAGTATACTGTATACTGCTTTCTGGTTTTTCTGAAACAATTGAAGGGAACCATGGAATCATACAGGTTTCAAATGATTGTGCAACTATGTATATCACAAAAAAAGAGGCTTTGATTTTGCCCTGTTTGTTTAGGGGAGGCCGTTGATACAGAGCGATGTTGCTTTTGAAACTGGTTTGATGCGCTTGATGCTCTGCGCTAGGCATTGCAATAAATGTCAACTTGGTACGTTGGTCAAGTCTGGTACGTTGACAGGCTCTCGGCCTGAACGTGCCGCAGTGGCCACGCTGAATGAGGTAGGACCCGTGTGGTGCGGCATGGGTGGGATGAGCAATGCGCTTGATGCCGCGCTGACACATGCCCTTCGCTTGAAGATGCAGTTTGATATCATTCAAACATATTCAAAATACATATATAACCAAAACTAATCCATGAACTTGACACCAGGCAACCATCTGAACAGCCAAACATCAAATGATGCCATGTGGCCAACCTCGGGTCGTTTGTCAAGATTACGAACTTGGAAAACTGGAGCGAATCCCAGGGTCTCAGACTGATTACATCGATCCATACACGAGAAATCAAGGCTATGCAAACATTTGACTCCTTCTAATTACTTGTTTTTTCCCTTGCCTTTTGAAAGATCCTGTATAGCACCCTGTTTTGAAATCCGCAGATGATGCCAAGAAATGTCACCGCAACCGAACCCAGCGGCCCAGATACCTCGCAGAAACCGGCGCTGACTGATGGGTCTGGCGCGTGCATGTTGCTTCTTTGAAGCGCTGGTCCCTACTCTGAGAGCAATTTTGTTTTGAAGCGCTACTCCAGGCACAGCTTTCCTGAGCGCTGGGGCAAGTTACTTAGTGATGTTGGAAGTGGAACTATTGTGAAGTTAAGAGTGAAGGAGAGAAGTCAACTCGGTCACAACCGACATAAACCAATGGAATGCCAACTACATGCCCTGGCACAGACAGATCGCGAGATCTTTCAGGATGATCGATAGCTGTTGAATATAAACGGCTCCTCGTACCGCCATGTTCCCTTTGGCTGGCCTGCAGGTAAAACCTGTTCATGGAATGGCCGGGTCAAACATGGAGTTTAATTCAAGATACCGGACTTCAAATTTTGGGACCTTATCCAACCTTATGCAGTATCGGTTGACGAGCGCGGAACCAACACCCTTATCGTTGTTTTAATCGGAAGAGCCCCAAACAAGCCTCAGACCCTGTGAAAATGATTGATATTGATCGGGATTTATGCGGTGGTTTGGATTTTACAGGGGAGGGTCCCTATAGAGGTCGGAGACTAAGGGCCCGTCACTGCCTGCGTTCTGTGTCAGCATCAATCCACTCTCCACCCATGGTGGTCTTGTGAAATTTTACACACTAGTGACCTGCACCTCAAATTTATATACAGTCTAATAGTGACCTGCACTTGCGCTCGCCGGATGCTTGAGGCCGTGTTTGAAGAATGTTGAGATGGGCCGCCTTGTTGAATGTTTTTGAATCCTATGACACACTTTGTTCAACTTTGTTCCGATAGTTTGGACTTGCCTTCTTAAGGACCGGGAATCATAAGGTCAAAACTCATTGATGAGTAGTTAGGAAACTCTGAGGAGCAGAACGATGGCATGTCTTTGCTATTTCCCTAAATCTTCGTGTGGGGTTCTTGTTTTGGTTGTGCACTCCCGTCCGCTCCTCCTCCTCCTCCTCCTCCCGCCGTGTCCGCCCACCTCTCTCACACACAGCTCTCTCACACACAACTCCCTCACACACACACACAAATCCCTCACACACAACTCACTCAAACACACACAACTGCCTCACACACACAACTCCCTCACACACAGCTCCCTCACACACAACTCCCTCACACACAACTCTCTCACACACAACTCCCTCACACACAACTCCCTCACACACAACTCTCTCACACGCAACTCTCTCACACGCAACTCTCTCACACACAACTCTCTCCCACACAACTTACTCACACACAACTCTCTCACACACAAATCCCTCACACACAACTCTCACACACAACTCCCTCACACACACACAACTTACTCACACACACAACTCTCTCACACACACACACCTCCCTCACACACACACACACACAACTTACTCACACACACAGCCCCCTCATACACAACTCCCTCACACACAACTCCCTCACACAATTCTCTCACACACAACTCCCTCACACACAACTCCATCACACACAACTCCCTCACGCACAACTCCCTCACGCACAACTCCCTCACACACAACTCCCTCACCTCCATTCTGTGTGGCAGGCATGGCACTCGGCGACACGTGACATCGACCTTCACTTTGTGTGGCAGGCGTGGCACTTATGGCACTGGGCTGGCTTTGGTGGCGCACTTGGTTCCCGTGGACGACGCGGCCGTTTGTGTGGCAGGCGTGGCACTTGGCGACATCGACATTCACTTTGATGCGTGACGCCCTGTCTGCGAACGAGCCAAGCAGCAGCTGCTATCCCACCAGCAATGCTTCAGAGGAAAGTGTCACATTGCCCCATGAACAATGGTACAACGGTTGTCCCGTGGCACCATTAGATGTGTTGCAAGTGGATGCCCAGCTCGGCTTGATCCCAGTGGGTGAAGTAGAAGCTAGCTTTGTCAGATGCTTGGTGGCCTTCAATGACGCGCAGCTCGCCGACGACGAAACTCTGCAGCAAGACCTCACATCAACCTCGGCAATGCGCGTCAAGTGCTCTGTCGATTGCCTATATTGTTTGCTGCAGCCGCCAAAGGTGAGCCGAGCCGGGTAAAGGTGCGGAGTGCTGGCCTTGCATCGGCGGTGGCTTGGATGCTGCGAGGGTGCCCTGGAGAGGTGCATTTGATGGTCCTTGCCCACACCGGAAGCGCATCGTGTGGAAGGAGTCAAGCACTTTCTGATGCAGATTTTTCAGTATGAGGTCAATGCCCCATATGCCCCACAAACCTTGGCCTACGATCAGACAAGGACTCCCATGAAACGATTTGCGAGCGTCATGGAGCCAGCGCCGGAAGAGACGCCCATGCAACCATGGATGTGCTGAACATAGCCACATGGTCTGAAGTGTGTTGCGTCTCTCTGCATGAAATCTTGACCACAGACAGCGACGACAAAATTAAAGGACCGGATAACCCCACAAGACAACTTCTTCCAATAATGAGCACATAGTGTTGTAGCGGGGCCGGGGAAGGAAGGAAAGACAAAGGAGGCGGTGGAGGATCGAGAAGTAAAACAAAGTTGTGAGTGACAAACTGGCATGTGAAATATGGTGCGTGATGAAGAAAGATGGTGTGTGTGTGTGAAAAAGTTGTGTGTGAAAGATGGTGTGTGTGAAAGTTGTGTGTGAAAGAGAGTGTGTGACAAAGTTGTGTGTGAAAGATGGTGTGTGACAAAGTGGTGTGTGACAAAGTGGTGTGGCGAAAGATGCTGTGTGACAAAGTGGTGTGTGAAAGATGGTGTGTAAAAGATGGTGTGTGACAAAGTTGTGTGTGAAAAATGGTGTGCTGAAAGATGGTGTGTGGAAGATGGTGTGTGAAAGATGGTGTGTGACAAAGTGGTGTGTGACAAAGTGGTGTGTGAAAGATGGTGTGTCAAAGATGGTGTGTGTGACAAAGTCAAAGTTGTGTGTGAAAAATGGTGTGCTGAAAGATGGTGTGTGGAAGATGGTTTGTGAAAGATGGTGTGGCGAAAGATGGTGTGTGACAAAGTGGTGTGTGAAAGATGGTGTGTCAAAGATGGTGTGTGACAAAGTTGTGTGTGAAAAATGGTGTGCTGAAAGATGGTGTGTGGAAGATGGTGTGTGAAAGATGGTGTGTGACAAAGTGGTGTGTGACAAAGTGGTGTGTGAAAGATGGTGTGTCAAAGATGGTGTGTGTGACAAAGTCAAAGTTGTGTGTGAAAAACGGTGTGCTGAAAGATGGTGTGTGGAAGATGGTGTGGTGAAAGATGGTGTGTGACAAAGTGGTGTGTGACAAAGTGGTGTGTGAAAAATGGTGTGCTGAAAGATGGTGTGTGGAAGATGGTGTGTGAAAGATGGTGTGTCAAAGATGGTGTGTTACAAAGATGGTGTGTAAAAGAGGGTGTGTGAAAGATGGTGTGTGACAAAGTGGTGTGTGAAAGATGGTGTGTGTGACAAAGTTGTGTGTGAAAGATGGTGTGTCAAAGATGGTGGGTGACAAAGTGAGTGAGGCGCCTGCCACGCAAAACGAGCGTGGATGTGAGATTGTGCCACGCCTGCCACGTGATATCAAGGTGAATGTCACCAAGTGCCACGCCTGCCACGTGAAACGAAGGTGGATGTCACCAAGTGCCACGCCTGCCACGCAAAGTGGCGCGGCGCCCCAGGCGACAAATCCGGACCAAGCGCGCCACACAGTACCATGAGTGCCACGCCTGCCACGCAAAACGACGGTGGATGTGAGTTTGTGCCACGCCTGCCACGTGAAACGAAGGTGGGTGTGAGTTTGTGCCACGCCTGCCACGCAAAGTGCCGCGGCGTCACGGGCGCCCAAGCCAGTCCAAGCGCGCCACCCAGTGCCATCTGTCCCACGCCTGCCACGCAAAACGACGGTGGATGTGAGTTTGTGCCACGCCTGCCACGCAAACCGACAGTAGATGTGAGTTTGTGCCACGCCTGCCACGCAAAGTGCCGCGGCGTCACAGGCGCCCAAGCCAGTCCAAGCGCGCCACCCAGTGCCATGAGTGCCACGCCTGCCACGCAAAACGACGGTAGATGTGAGTTTGTGCCACGCCTGCCACGCAAACCGACAGTAGATGTGAGTTTGTGCCACGCCTGCCACGCAAAGTGCCGCGTCACAGCGTCACAGGCGCCCAAGCCAGTCCAAGCGCCTGCCACGCCAGTGCCATGAGTGCCACGCCTGCCACCACGCCTGCCACGTGAAACGAAGGTGGATGATTGTGCCACGCCTTGCCGCGGCGTGTGGCGCCCAAGCGCCTGCCGCCTGCCATAGATGTGAACGCCTGCCACGTGAAACGGGTGGATGTCAGGTTGTGCCACGCCTGCCACGCAAAGTGCCGCGGCGTCACAGGCGCCCAAGCCAGTCCAAGCGCGCCACCCAGTGCCATCGTGCCACGCCTGCCACGCAAAACGACGGTGGATGTGAGTTTGTGCCACGCCTGCCACGTGAAACGAAGGTGGGTGTGAGTTTGTGCCACGCCTGCCACGCAAAACGAAGGTAGATGTGAGTTTGTGCCACGCCTGCCACGTGAAACGAAGGTGGATGTCAGGTTGTGCCACGCCTGCCACGCAAAGTGCCGCGGCGTCACAGGCGCCCAAGCCAGTCCAAGCGCGCCACCCAGTGCCATGAGTGCCACGCCTGCCACGTGAAACGAAGGTAGATGTGAGTTTGTGCCACGCCTGCCACGTGAAACGAAGGTGGATGTGAGTTTGTGCCACGCCTGCCACGCAAAGTGCCGCGGCGTCACAGGCGCCCAAGCCAGTCCAAGCGCGCCACCCAGTGCCATGAGTGCCACGCCTGCCACGCAAAACGAAGGTAGATGTGAGTTTGTGCCACGCCTGCCACATGAAACGAAGGTGTGGACAAAGTGTGTGTGGACAAAGTGTTTGGTGACAAAGTGTGTGTGGACAAAGTGTGTGGTGACAAAGTGTGTGTGGACAAAGTGTGTGTGGACAAAGTGTTTGGTGACAAAGTGTGTGTGGACAAAGTGTGTGGTGACAAAGTGTGTGTGGACAAAGTGTGTGTGGACAAAGTGTTTGGTGACAAAGTGTGTGTTGACAAAGTGTGTGTTGATAAAGTGTGTTCACAAAGTGTGTGGTGACAAAGTGTGTGTGGACAAAGTGTGTGTGGACAAAGTGTTTGGTGACAAAGT